GTAGAGACAGGGTTTCACCATGTTGGCCAGGCTGGTCTCAAACTCCTGACCTCAGGTGATCTGCCCACCTCAGCCTCCCAAAGTGCTGGGACTACAGGCATGAGCCACCCACCGTGCCCAGCATAAACTAAACTTAGTTGCAAGTGACAGAACCAAGATTCTAAACCAAGTAGCAATGGACAAAGCCCTTACCTTAAAACAGTTTTTCTATTTTTATTTTATTATTATTATTATGAGACAGGGTCTCTCTCTGTCGCCCAGAACCTTGGCTCACTGCAGCCTTGACCTCCTGGGCTCTGGGGATCCTTCCACCTCAGCCTTCTGAGTAGCTGGGACCACAGGCAAGCACCACTGCCACCTTGTCTAGCTAATTTTTTATTTTATCTTTTGTACAGACAAGGTATCATCATGTTGCCCAGGCTGGTCTCAAACTCCTGAGCTCAAACCATCCTTCAGCCTCAGCCTCCCAGAGCTCTGGGATTACAAGAGTGAGCCATCGCACCCCGCCTCAATTTTTTTTAATGTGACCAACAGTTAGTTAGAAGTACTTTTGACATCATGACCTAGCACACACAAACCAAAACTTACCCTTACCAAGGGTGGTGTGATTCTAACTTCCTATTTAAAATGCAGGGCACACCCCACCAAAGTGATTTCACGACCCACTCCTGGGCTGAGTCTGTCTGAGAACACTATGCCAAGGGCTGCTGCTTCCATCCTCAAAGCCTGACCCACAGGGTCACTCCTGACCCACAACATCTCCTGAGTGCCTGATCTGCCTGTTTCCCAAGCACCTGCAGGGGTCCCAGGGAACCCTGTAATGCCTTCTGACGGGGGAGTGGGCTTTCAGTTTCCCTTTCTAGCCTCCCAACCCTCCCTGCCCCTCTTCTCCTGCCCTTCCCCACACAGTGCTTCTCAAGATAAATGTGAGGAGCACACTAGGAAGTTGAAGAGAAAGAGAAAGCAAAAGGGCCAGGGGTGTCAGTAAACACGGACGAGCTGGGGGCACACTGAGAGGTTATTCATCCACACTTAGAACTCTGCTCTCTCCCCGTCTCCAATGCCAGTAGCTCTGCATTCTCTCTCCTTGGCCTCCCCCCTCACTCAGAATTCCTCCCTCTCCTCTCTCCTCCCCTTCCTGGCCCCTCTGGTTGTTTTCTTTTGTTGTTGTTGTGCTTGTCGCCCAGGCTGGAGTGCAATGGCACGAAATCGGCTCACTGCTCACTCGGGAGTTCAAGCGATTCTCCTGCCTCAGCCCCCCAAGGGGCTGGGATTACAGGCGTGCGCCATCACGCCTGGCTAACTGTCTTTGGTAGAAATAGGGTTTAGCCATGTTGGCCAGGCTGGTCTCAAACTTCTGCCCTCAGGTGATCTGCCCACATCGGCCTCCCAAAGTGCTGGGATTACAGGCATGAGCCACCGCACCTGGCCCCCGGCTCCCTTTGAAGAGGACAGAACCCCACCGCCAGAAACACTGGAACAGAGAGAGGCTGGCATTCCCCACAGTGCTGCAATGTCCCAGGCACAGACCAACAAATCTCCAGAGCCTGGAACATCTCCCCCTACAACACACACATCTCTTTGAGCCTCCTGTTCTGATCTGTAAAATTGGGATGTCCACAGCATACGGCTGTCAGGATAGAGAAGTGCTTGGCACAGCTCCTGGCACGCCATCAGTGCCTACTAAGCAGCAGGAGCTGTTATTTGGGTTTAGATGAACCCCCTCACACCTTTCCATCTTTCCATCCATTCCAGTCCTGTTAATGCTCCCAGGAAGCTCACTGGAAGGAGACTAGGAAGACTCATCCACATTTTGCTGCGCACAGTGCGCTCTAGAGCACTGATGATGTGCTAGGCGCTGTCTAGTGCTTCCCTTAGATTTCAAATCACAGCAAGCCTGGAGATCGGTACTGTGGATCCCATTTTACAGAAGAGAAAACAAGCACAGGTTGTTTTACGTGACCCACCCAGCAAGGTAGGTTTCAAGCTGGGCAGGAGGTCTCCGCATCCCATGTGGAAGAAAAGGGTCCACACTGAGCCCTGAGGTAGGACTCTTAGTCAGTGCTTCTTCCATAAGAGTCGCCTGCCCTCAGCCAATCAAAGCTTCCTGCTTGCTTGCAGGCCCTGGGCCTATCCACACCCAGCCCACGAAGTCTCCACCACAACCCTCCCCTAGGAGCCAGACCTGATCACCAGAACAGTCAACTGTGTATCCAGCTCCAGCTATGTGTCCCAAAATGCAGCCCTCACCTCTGAGTTTAAAGGGGTGAAGGGCACGCATGAAACTGCTGGTTATAATGTAATGACAAGAGGGTAGGGCAGCCTGACTCTGGGACTCCTAACTCCCAAGCGCTGGGGCTCACACGATGCCCGCAGGAAGTGACTTTCCAGCAGAGAGCTGGAGGTGGTACACAGGTAAGGAGAGGAAAGGACAAGTGGGTATCTAGGCCCCGAGGTCAGAGGGTAGAGTCCCAGGAGGTCAAGGTGAAGGGTACCACCTTGAGGGAGGCCCCCAGGTGGGGAGTCTCAGGAGTGTGAACCCAGAGAGGTCGGCGGGGACCGGGTGGGCGGGCCCCAGAAGTTTCTGAGCACCTGGAGGACGTGGGGAGGCAAGGGAGGGGTTTAAGCCGGGGAGTGGGCCACGTGATTGGCTATGCTCAGGCTGAAGGGGAGGAGGAGGAAGCTGGAAGCCAAGATGAGGAGGTGGCAGAGATTCAGGCCAGAGTTGTGGGCCGCCGTCGGCAGCAAGAACAGAGAGAGAGGTGGACAGATCTGAGAGATACTGAGGTAGAACCACCAGGAATCGGGCATTTGACTGGATGTAGGGGGTGAAGGAGGGGCCTCAGGCTGGCTGGCAGTGCCCCTTGCCAAGAAAGGGACCCCCAGAGGAGGAAGTTTGGGGGCTGGGGAGACAAGCTGAGGGGTCAGTGTTGAGTTGGGGGCAGGGATGAGCTCCCGTGCACTCCCGTTCTCCCAGTCTAGTCCCTTCTGGTTCTTCACGTAAACTTAATCCACCATCCCAGGCTTAAAACCCTTCAGGGGCGCTTAGGGGTCACATCTCAAGAGGGATTGGGGGGGAAAAAATCAGAGAGTCAATCCTTGCAAATCCCTTAAATCTCCAATAAAACTTAGCGCAGAAACATACCTCCCTTCTTCGGCAAGCTTGCAGAGGCTGATGTCTCCTCCGGTCCCAGAGCAGGCGGTGGTCTCGGTTTCTTCTTTTGAGGCAGGAGTGGAGACTGGCGTTTAGGGGCCATGCTGTTAGGGAAGTCCTAGAACCAGACCACGAGTCTCCTCACCCGTCCGGAAGCAGGCTGAACACTGAGACTGCCCCAGGTGCCAGCGGTTTAAATCTGCACTGGAGCCGCCCTGCCTGGAAGGGATATTTACATGACAGTGGGACACACACCCCAGCCCCCTCCCCCAGCCTCATCCCACCCACCCTCCAATCAGGAGAAATTTCTTTTAGTTGCTCTCTGCCTCGCTCTGCAGGGGCACTCTTGGCTTTGGGGGAGGGGGCAAGTTCTTCCTTGAAAGCAGTCCTGTGCTTTCTATACCTCCTGGTTTCATGTAAACCCCTGCAGCCTATCCCCCAGTTCGTTCCCAAACTCCCAGGTAGACAGGCCTGCCCCTACTGAGAACTTATCCTCTTTTTTTTTTTTTTTTTCCTTTGGCCTCCAGAAGATTTAAACACGTGCTGTTGCCTCACCTAAGCTTGGAACATTCCTCAGTAAACCACACCCCCACCGCCCGGTCTAGCTAACTCCTTCCTGACCTCCCTTGTCTCTGCTTGAAGGGATAGATTAATGTTGAAAAAAAGGTTTCCCAATCAAGAATTACAAAGGAATTAGATGCCTGCATTAAAAAAAAAAGAAAGGAAGAAAGAAAGAAAAGAAAAAAGAAAGAATTACAAAGGAAGAGGGAAAAGCAGGAATCTTTGGAGGCTTGGAGTATTTATTCACTTTTCACTTATTTTAGAAAGGGATACAAGTTAAGAGTTAGAAGAGGTTTATTTTAGCTGGGCTTGGTGGCGGGCACCTGTAATCCCAGCTACTGGGGAGGCTGAGGCAGGAAAATCACTTGAACCTGGGAGGCGGAGGTTGTAGTGAGCCGAGATCGTGCCACTGCACT